AGTGCAGACCAGCCGCCAGCCCTCTGAGCCCCATGGTGCTTAACCCAGCTCAGAGCACACCTAGATGACCCAGTGGTTACGTGCCCCTGGACAGTCACGCTACACCGTCTTGCCCTTGCCCGTGCTGTGGTGGGCTTGTACTGCTGGGGACCTTAACAGGAGACGTCTGGTGGAGACGGGGTCTCAGGCGGCTCCTAGTTACCTTGTAAATCCTCTCAACTGCTGGATTATTTTCTGCCTGAGAAACAGACCCCGTTGCTGTGCAGCTCTGAGAGCCGGGCAGCAGCTGTGCATGTCAGGGCAAAAGCTGGAGAGCCCAGGCTGCAAAGGGGAACCAGCCAACCTGCCTCTCAGGCAGCCGAAGCCCAAAGCCCCGAACAGCCTCCACAGGGCTGGTTAACTTCCCCTCTGTTCCTCTTCTTGCAGGGCTGCCCTGAATGTGCTGCTGAACATGGGCTGCCGGTGCCTATGACCGTGGCTGGGAAAACCCACCTGCTGCAGGGGGAGGGTAAGTCCAGTTTGTCCGCGATCCCAGTTGGGTTTTTACGTTTTTGGTTGATCAACTCGTTGGGTCTCAGGGAAGAATATTGAAAAGAAAGCCGAGACCCAGTATCTCTAGGGCAGTAAATACAATCCACAGACGCTCGTGATTCTGCAAAAGAACGAGGAGTCCTTGTGGCACCTTAGACGCTAACAAATGTCTTTGGGCATAAGCTTCCGTGGGCTAAAACCCACTTCATCGGATGCCTCCACGGATGCCCAAATAAATGTGTTAGTCTCTAAGGTGCCACAGGTACTCCTCGTTCTGTTTGCTGAAACAGACTAACACGGCTGCCCCTGTGAAACGATTCTGAAAGTTACTAAGAACCGCGTCACTCCTGCAAGCTCTGCTCTTAGGAGAGGTGTGGTGAGAGCACAGGGCTGGGAGCCAGGGATCTCCTGAGTTCTCATCCTGCCTTTGACACAAACACGCTCTGTGGCCCTGGCTAAGTCACTGCGTCTCTCTCAAACCTGGGGCTAATGGTGCCTGCCTCCCTCCCAGAGGGCTGTGAGGATGAGCTAGGAAATGTGTTCTAGCCCTCCAAGGATGGAAAGGGTTTTACACCATGAAATGCCCTTGCTGCCCTCCATGGGCATGCCCAGCTCCTGCCCATGCTAGTGGGAGGGCAGGCCAGAGGGTGCACAGTCCTGCTTCTGGGATGGCATCCACAGAGAAAGGGTCAAGATATTTCCAGCAGCAGCATCTCGTAGGTATGAACCGCGTGACCTGCTGAGGTCTTGCCGCTGGGCGTCACTGCAGCTCGGGTTCTCTGACACGCTGGATGGAACCGCTCTGCCGTGATACCTGGTGTGGTTCTTTACAGGGCTGTGCGGTGCTGTGGATGTGGGAAGCACCATGGAGTGTGTCCCCACGTGCCTCAGGGCCTAATCCTGAGCGGTGCTGAGCACTGCCTGACTGTGGGAGCAGGCCTTTGGGCAGCACTGGGGTGGAGACTGGGAGCTGTCTCTCCGGAATGCTCCCTGACTGTGTGTCGGGGATTCCCTGGCTTCTAGGCAGCCTGGTTCCTTGTGCATATTCACCTTTAAAATCATACTGCCAGGTGCTGGTGGGGATTCAAATGCACAACCCCAAACTGGGGAATAACTGGCAAGGCGGTCGTGCTGCTGAAAAGGATCTGGGGTGAGAGTGGCTCACACGTTGACTGAGTCAACAACATGATGCTGTTGCAAAAAAGGCTCCTATCATTCTGGGGTGTGTTAACAGGCAGGTTGTATGTAACACATGGGAGGTAATGGTCCCGCTCTACTCGGCACTAGAGTCCTGTGTCCAGTTCTGGGTGCCACACTTAAGGAAAGATGTGGACAAATTGGAGACAGTCCAGAAGAGAAATGAGAAAAGGTTTAGCAACCCTGAGCTAGGAGGAAAGGTTTAAAAAAAAAAAAAACTGGGTATGTTTAGTTCTGAAAAAAGACTGAGCGGGGACCTACTAAGTCTTCAAATCGGTGCAGGGCTGTTCTAAAGAGGATGGGGATCCATTGTTCTCCATGTCCACTGAAGGTAGGAGAAGTGATGGGCCTAGTCTGCAGCCTGGGAGATTGAGATGAGCTATTAAGAAAAGCTTCCTAACTCCCAGGGGAGTGACGCACTGGAGCAGGTGACCGAGGGAGGCTGGGGAATCCCTGACCTTGGCGAATTTTAAGAACAGGTGGGACAAACCCCTGTCAGGGACAGTCTGAGTTTACTTGGCCCTGCCTCAGTGCCCAGCGCTGGACTAGATGATTTCTTGCAGTCCTTCCAGCCCCAGTTCCATGATTCTAACCCCCTGGAGTCACTTGGGATGGGCCCAGCAGCTCCTGTACTTCCATGTGCACTGGGTTAGTGGGCTGGACCTCGTGAAGCCCTGCATCCTTCCTCCCTTTGCTTGTGGGGACGACAGGGCCTTTCTCTCCCCGCCACCCCCAGCATCCTTGAAAGCTCTGCAGGACAGAGACCATCCTGCTGGCTGGGAGTGGTAGGAGCATCTCCCTCCAGAGCCCAACCATGTGGCTCCCTTTGCCCCACTGACCCCACTTGCTTGCCACTCAGGTTACAAGGGCCACCTCAGATCCCTCCATGATCCTGCGGTGCTGTCCCCATGCTGGGCTGCCCTCCTGTGTCCTTCCCATCTCCACCACCTCCCTTAGCAGAACATTAGCAACTCTGTAGCAACTCTAGGAATGAGGGTGTCTGGGGAAAATGCGTTA